CAGTCTCGTGTCAAATCCGTTACGCACTAAGTAAGTTCACACGAACTCCATCATACTTGAATATAAATTCAAAAGTTGAAATGTCGGGGACTTAGTCTTCTCTGAGACTAAAGAGAAACTAACAGACCCTGGCGTAAGGTGTTGTCCTTTAGCCCCTGCCGTGACCTGAACTTATCTTTCTGAAACAGCAAGATATCGAAATCAACATTGTGAAACTCTTATAGAAACTTTTTCATTTCAACGAAGTTCAAATCAAAACTTGTTCCTCAAACCTGACATCTGTCGAACATCTGATAGCATGGAGGCTGTTGCGAGGATTTATCTGAGGTCTAGATTAGAAAAACCTTGGCTTTAAGTCAGGGAGCTGCTGCATAACGTAAATAGATAATCAGACATCAAACCCCGCAAATCAAGCGACCTTACAAGTTTGACTTCCCAAAAGTTGCGTTCACAGAGCAGAAACACATTTGAAAAGGATGTATTGAAACGGCCAACCATTAAGCATAAACATCTATATCCCTTCTTCTCTATATCTATTAATTCATACTGTTCGTTTTTAAACCATTTAGGCGAACAGAAAAATTACGAGGAAGTTCCGAATGGCAAGGGACTACAAAAGACGTTTGAACTTGATTTCATAAAAAACAAAAACAAAAAAAGCAATCTAAACACACGGGCCATCTGTTAGCTGTTTTGTGCATCTAATTTACCGAAAGCTGCACAGCTATTAGATCTTCTTAAGAAATGATTTAATGGACGTCAGTCGGGAATGACAAAGTGATCATCGACCAAAGAATAACCAAACTTTGTTTGCATCCTCCAATTATGGTTGCATTGTGATTTGACTTGCTGAGAACTCTTGCCGTAGACTTGGCCTTATAAAAGAACTATTAATAGAAAAACACGTTCAATAAAAAGATAAGTGTCCTAATGGCCACAAAACAGTGATAGATTGGCTAGGAATATTTTCGTTTTCTTCCAAGGGCTATAATAAGAATCGATTTTGCCACACCTCATTGATTCTGTCTATCTGGACCAATAACGTAAATTGTTAATTGATTTCAAGGTCAGGCGATCCAACGTAGTCTTTAATAGAGAATATACCAAGGACCGGACCAAGTTTCGAGCTCAGCTGAGCACATCTTTGTTCACAATAGGGCACAATTTTACCGGCAATCACAACAAGGTTAAAATTTTTGATCCAAGCTTTTGGATCTATAAGTTTTTCTCGTAAATGTTAATCAGATAAAGGAGACTAACATTCCACTGAGGAATTGAAGTAAACAAAGATTCCAATAGTTTTGCTCCTGGTTTAAGCAATTAAATCTTTATTTCTGAAAGATGAATAATTAAGTAAGTCTCCTTACCATCGCCAATATTTTTAAAAAGCCGTTCTATTACATTTGAAAATTTACCTCTTTACATCTCAATAGCTTCAAAGCTGGTGTTCGTTATTCTAACTTACAAGTTAGATAGTTCACCATCTTCTATTGAATTTTATCTCTAATTAAATAGTGGCAACGAAAGACACAAATTTGCAGCAAATTTGCATAAAAATAAAAGCTTTAATATTTGTATACAAACAAAACACAGCACGACTGTATAAACTTATTTGCCTCTTACATATCATTGTTTTTATAAATGCATTTCTACTTCATTTCAAACAATCAAGCATTTGAAACAAGCATTTTAATGCTTGGTTGTACATCATCAAATGGTTATATGAATGCTTTAATTTACTACGCGTATTGTACCATACTCACCGGCCCTTCAATCACATTTTTAAACAAACTGATGAGTAAGTAAATTTTAAGAAAAGTTCATAGGTCTGATCTTCATTTCAGTTGTCTTGGGAGCACTGCCAGCAGCAAGTTTGCGATCTAGCTTTGCCCAAGAGATCTTTTCCGATCCAGCGTTGAGATTTGAAGGCCCAGCACATTTCTCATCGTACCACCAGCCTCCTCCACTTTTTGACGCACATTTAGGACCAGCGTGATGTTTATCAAAGGTACCAAACTTGAAGCCATTATGATGACTGAGAGAATCTTCACCAACAGTCATGTCTAAAAAGAAGGGGAAATAGAGAAAATAAGCATTGATATCAATTTAAGCCCGTAAGATACTACCCTGTGGAGGAGCGGAAAGATAGGATAAATATGTTATCATCTCGACCACCTTAAGGTTGAAAAAAAAAACAAAACAAATTTGGAACTTGATGTAGAGTGGTCTTGAAACACTGCCACTGAGTCACAAAGAGGCGAGCCACTTTATCAGTGTGAGAGGCCTTTGCATGACTTAGATTAGACACACTGTGAACAGAGTCGTTTGGCAAACGTGAATTGCAAGTAAATAACAGGATTGAAAGAGACTGAATGAGTCGAGATGTGGATAGAGACCTATAAAACTAGTTACGTATAATCATGATAAAAGTTTAGCTTCTATTAACGTTGATTGTCTTGGGCTTGCCTATAATATTTCCAAGATTCAGCTTGTACTTCGCTTCCTCGTCTCCAATTTTAAGCCACGCATATTCAGCGTAAAAAGTTTTTTTAGGAACTAGTCGCTTCGTAGCCTTTACCCCAAGAACTACTCGAAGCCTGTTTTCTGTCTTATTTTCGGTCAAGCGGCGGATCTTTTCCAATCCAAGCCAATATTCACCAACGAGGAAATTACCGAAGCCATGTTTGTAGTCATCCCAGGTGCGGTTAAAATCATCGAAAACTTTCAGTCTCTTTTGGATCACTGTCCATCCTCCACCAGCTGTTGTCTGGTCACAATATACATCAAAGGGAAGTTTATCATCAGGATAGATTGTATAAACACCGCTGATTCTTTGATCAGAGTTGTAAAGCTCAGCACAGTTCTTGGCTTTTAAAGATGACAAGAAAATAGTTTGATCTTCTATTCGAGTATCAAGTAAAGAGTTTAAAATAGGGAAAAAAACAAATGATGTGAAACAAAGTAAAAGAAACAATACAGTAGCTATCACAATATAACAGAGAATGGCTTCCCTCTTACATTTCTCAAATCCAAAAACTGAAG